AAGTCTATTATGTTGTAATTGTATCTACCAAAGTCCAACAAGCTCTGTCTACTTCCAGGAGACCCTGCACCTCATTTTCTCTCTCATTTAGTTATTGTGTCATTTGCTGGTTTATTGAATTTAATGACATGCTACCAACCCCACTGAGGGAAGAAATTATCTTCAGATAAGACAAAGAATGTCACTGTCATGGTTACTCCACTTCTCTTAGAAGAGTTACTAAAGCCTATCGATGGAGTTTCCAGGAGCCTTATGAGCTTTCAATTTATGAGCAACCTAATGAAATATTTTCACATCCACTTCTGAAATCACTCCACCTGCTACAATTAACTTACTGATGGAAGCAGGAAGGTCTAAAAATCCAGGGGAAATTTGGGGTTATATTCAGAAACAAAGTATCACAATTATAAAAGGAAACTATGGCATGGCCATGGTCATTTGGTGGTGCCGATTCTGTATGTCCATAGATGTTAGCAGAGATTGGTCAAGAGAGTCCCCTCAGGACTCAGAGGACCTGAGCTCTGACCAAGTGGTTGCCACACTAACTTGCTTCCTGGTGTCTGTGGCTTGTTCTCTGGGGTGCAGGGTCCTGGGAGCAGGAACTGATGCATTTGTACTTAGATAAGCCCTTCAGGGGATCCTGAGTCATGGTAAAGGCAGAGAGCCTTGTACTGAAATGGGCTTGATACATTTATCCTCACCTTTGTTTTTGTTGAAGGAGGGGATATTTTCAAAGGAAATCTGTGTCTTATTTTTTGCTACAGTCTCAGTACTTGGTACAAAGCATGGAAAAGTGTTGGTGCTCAGTACAGGGAAAGGACGGTAGAGGAGCTGAGGAGAGCACTGGAGAGAGTTTCTAGACAATGTTACATATTCATGTTGCTCACAAGAGAAGTGTTTTTTAAAGCACTTATTCTCAAAGTTCAGGGATTTAAAATTCACCTAGAGTGTTTGTTAGACATACAGTAGTGTCCTCATTCCCAGACCCCATAAAAGGTAAGCCCAGAGTGTTACCAAGAAGTTATATGTGCACACCCAGGTGATGCAGGCTGTAGCTTCCCTAGAAACTACCTGATTCATTTTTTCACCCGACCTTTTTGGTAGGATTCATCAGTGACATGGAACCCAGAAACCACACAGCCGTTTCAGAATTCCTTCTCCTGGGACTGACAGAGGACCCAGCCCTGCAGCCCTTTGTCTTCAGCCTGTTCCTGTCCATGTACCTGGTCACCATCCTGGGGAACCTGCTCATCATCCTGGCCGTCAGCTCTGACCCCCACCTCCACACCCCCATGTACTTCTTCCTCTCCAACCTGTCCCTCACTGACATCTGTGTAAGCACAACCACCATCCCCAAGATGCTGGTGAACATCCAAGCACACACTCAGAGCATCACCTACACTGAATGCCTCTCCCAGCTCTGCTTTGTCTTGATCTTTGGTGGCTTAGAAAATTGTCTACTTGCAGTGATGGCCTATGACCGCTATGTGGCCATTTGTCACCCTCTGAGGTATATGGTCATCATGAATCCCCGCCTCTGTGTCCTGCTGGTTCTACTCTGCCTGCTGGTCACTACTGTGAATGCCCTTCTGCACACTCTGATGGTGCTGCGACTGTCCTTCTGCACGGCCCTGGGGATCCCCCAGTTCTTCTGTGAACTGACTCAAGTCATCACACTCTCCTGTTCGGACACCCTCATCAACAACTTGCTGGTGTTTTGGGGAACAAGCCTATTTGCTGGTGTCCCTGTCTCTGGGATTATTTTCTCTTATGCTCGAATTGTCTCCTCTATTTTGAGGATCCCATCAGTGGGTG